CAAGGGTCGCAAGAAGCGCCCGATTCCCGACGACTGGGTATCTGCCGACGAAATCTCTGCTTTTGGCAGCTCCGCCTCCAACGCCCTACCGGTCAGCCAGGCCACCTCGCTCGCTGTTGCGGGAAGCTACGCTGCCGTGGGCGGACTCAAGGGCGACGCCGCCATCTACGCCATCGACACGGACAGCGTCGAGAGGCAGCTGGCAGTCGATGGTCCTGTGACGGATACCCTGTGGACTGAGAAGCAGCTGTTCTTCGCCACCAGCAAGGGCACCGTCAAGGTCTACGAGGCTGGTACCGAGGTGGCTACGCTATCAGAGCATGCTGGCCCTGCTACGGCCCTGAGCATTCACCCTGGCGGCGAGCTTCTGGCATCGGTCGGTGCGGATAAGAGCGTCGTCTTCTACGAGCTGAGCAGCATGAAGCGCGTTAGCCGCGCCTTCGCTGAGTCCTGTGGGTAATTCTGTGACAGTCATGTGTCATGTAGCTAACCAAACAACAGCACTGACTACTTGCGCGTTCCACCCCGATGGCCACCTCTTCGCTGCTGGCACCGTATCTGGCGACATCAAGCTGTGGATGACGACATCTCTGGAGCAGGCAGCCGTGTTCAAGCTGGGCGCACCCGTGCAGGCTCTGACTTTCTCCGAGAACGGCTTCTGGCTGGCCGCCACGGCCAAGGGACAGACGTCGGTAACCATCTTCGACCTGCGCAAGGAGGGCGATGCGGCAACGGCCAAGGTGCTGGAGACGGGAGGCTCGGTGCACTCGCTGGCATGGGACTACTCTGGACAGTTCCTGGCCACGGGCGGCGCATCGGGCCTGACGGTGCAGCAGTACACCAAGTCGAGCAAGAAATGGAGCGAGCCGTTCCGCAACTCGACGCCGGCCGTGTCGGTGAAATGGGGGCCGTCGGGGAAGAAGCTGGTGGCGGCCAACGGTGAGGGCGTGGTGAGCGTGTTTGGCGTCCAAGCGTGATGACCTGTTTGCTTGGGTATGTTGTGATTGTACATTATGCGGCCAGCCATAGAATGATACTCTATCGGGAGGAGGATGCAAGATGGGCATATGCAGGGGGAGACCAAAATTGACATTTCAGCCGGGATTGACCAAACTGGGCTCTTCATTCACACTGACTGCACGCGCGCGCCTAATTGAACATGAATCGAAGCGCCGACGAACAACAAATAACAGCAGCTTGACGCATTGCAGCCGGACAAATGCATGCATTTAGCATAAAGTAGTAGGCACGCATCCTGCTTGCTTCAATTCCATCCGCACAGGCGCCGGACCCTTTCCATTTTCCCGATAAGACTCGAGGCCGCTTGATAAGCGGCCACTAGCTTAGTACCCTGTGGCGGGGTGTTACGTGAGCTGAGCCTCTTAATTCAACACTTTGCACCTCGAACCTCCAACTTCGCATCAACAAAACAACCACACCTAAAACCTACCACCACCACCCCAGGCACGCCAAGCTCCGACCGAGAGACGTGCCATTCCTCAACCGGAATTTTCTTTTTGCTACCGCGCTGTCAACCGAGCGGCCGTCCATACGCAGCGAGACACCGAGCCACCGAGTCGCCACTTTTTGCTTCAAGCTATCCTCGAGACCGCCTCGAGAGACATTCTGGCGGTGGTAATGGGTTCCAACATGGAGGCGGTGCCCATCAGCAGCGACGATGAGCTGGTAGAGATAGAGGTCGACTACGACGCGGGCTCTAACAACACCCTGGCCGACGACCTCATCCTCCCTCGCCCTCACTCTGCACGCCCATCCGTACGCCCGACCCGGATCGAACGACGACGCAACCACCGCAGCACCTCCTCTCGGCAGCCGTCCTACGCATCGACGCCCAACCCCCAGGCCGTCATCGATCTCACCGAGGAGCCCGACTCCCCAGAACTCGTGAGGGCCGTGCCGGCGCCCACATCAGCATCAGGACGGAACCCACGACGCACCAACTCGCAGCGGGTATCACCACCACGGCTGGCTAGGAGCGACGGGACATTCATGGGGCGCTCGGCCGCGCAGCAGGATGTGATAGACCTCACCGACGACACGGAGCCGGCGGCGGCGGCGACGACGACGCAGACGCAGACGCAGACGCAGACGCAGACGCGGAACCCAGACCACCTGTACCGCATCAACAACGTCCGCATGAGCGGCTCGGAAACCTCCCTCTCCAACATGTCCAACCTCGCCCGCTTCACCGGCCTCCTCAGCTCCTTCAACCGCCTCGTCTCCATGCCCATGCCGTTCGACGTGACGCTCGTCCGCAGCGCCTACCCGCCCACGCGGGCCGAGTCCCAGAAGCCCGACCTCGAGCCGCCGCCGCCCACGCGCGAGGGCTTCACCAGGGACACGTGCGCCGAGCCCGCCGACGACGACGAGAGGGTCGTCGTGTGCCCCGCCTGCAACGAGGAGCTGGCCTACGACCCCACGGGGCAGATGCCCACGCACAACGCCTTTGGTAAGAGGAAGCGCCGTGCGCCGGGCGAGCATCACTTCTGGGCCCTCAAACGATGCGGCCACGTATGTTTCCTTCCTCCCAGTCTCATTTTGACCTGCTCCTTTTTAAAACTTCTTGTACTGACACGTGGCAAAGGTGTACTGTGCCGACTGCTTCGACAACCGGAGACCAACAAAGGCCGGCCCCCGCGTGGGATTCCGCCCAACGGACAAGGTCAACGAGATGATCTGTGCCGTCGACGACTGCGACACGCGCGTCAACCCTAAGAGTGAATGGGTTGGCATCTTTCTGTAGGCGGGTTTCCATGTTTCAGAAGGGGGGCTGACTGTCTTATTTTTTCCAATATCCATTTGGTTCTTTTGTTTATTTTAATGAAGCGGGCGTTTTTTGGCTGGTAAGCTTTAATGGCCAGGGGAGTCAGCGCTCATACAAGCAAATGTGCGCATTATGCTTTAGATACCAGAGCGGTCTTAATGTCCTCTTTTTTTCTTCTTCGTTTGGTCTTCTCTGTTCCTACTCATGGTCGGTTTCTGGGTGGTTAGGAGGATGAAAGCAACGTTTTTTCCCCCCTTCCTCTTTTCTTCGGGAGGGAAGAGAGGTGCTGTGCGCATGCGGGAATTACATGTACAGGTGCAAGAGGACGGTTGAAGGTAGGTTTTCGTACCCGAGTAGACATCACGGTCAGGATAGACGGCGGGACGAACGGTCCTGGGAGAAGATGAATAAAGAAAGGTCAATTTCATTCTGCGAGTATCGTGAGATGGGGGCGCTTTGCCTCGCCGCGCCTATAATAACCTAACCCATGTGTTTATCCTGGGTATTCATGCCTATGCTCTCCTACCCTCAACGCCTGCCAATGCTATACACACCTAAAAAGAAGCCTCATGATATGCGTAAAAGGAACAAGGGGGAGAAATGATAACATCATAAATCGAAATCCAGTGGCGCGTCATCGAGCCAGCCACCGCCGAATTCGCTTTCCTGGGACGCCGGAGGCGGAGGTAGAGGAGCAGGAGGAGGGATATTCTCCTTTCCTACATCGGGCTCTTCCACCCGGTCTTTGCGGCGCCAGTGGTCTAGCTGTGCTGAGCAGCGGCTCTTGTGCAGCGCAGTGGCCCACCTCTCCTGGGAGCCCGTGTCCGTGAAGAAGCGTTTGCGCCGGGCGGGCGTGGCGGGTGAAGAGGACTTTTGTCGGTGTGGCGAGGGCTGCAGCACGGGCTTGGGAGGCGGCATGCTCGTCTGCGGTGCTGGTGGTGGCGAAGGAACCGTCTCCTCGAGTTCGCGGAGCTGCTGGGACGCCGTAGGAAAGAGGTCATCGAATTCATAAAGGATGTACTGCGTGCTGAGCGGGGGCGGCTGCGGCCTGGGAGAGGAGAACCTGGGCTTCTTGGCGATGCCGAGGTCTTCTTCGTAGCGGGACTCGACGGGGCGTTTGCGCTCGGGAAGAGAAGGCGGTTCGGGCTTCGAGCCGCAGGCGAGGACGGCCTCCCCGGCAGGGGCCTCCGGAGGAACCTTTGCGGGAGGTGGAGGTTGCATGGCGTCGAGGTCTATGGCTTCGAGAGCGTCCCAGTCGGAATCTAAGAGGTCGTCAAGGTCGTCGAGCTGGTTTGGTGGGTTCGTGGTTGGAGAGGCATGTTTCGGAGATGTCGTGGTGGGGGGCTGTGCGTGATGCGGACTTGGGAGACGAGAATGGACTTGTTCGAGAGGCGGGTTCATCTTGGGGGATGGAGGGTTCTCAGAGTAGCCATCGTCTGGCTTGCTATCGTCGGCTTTATCCTTGGCTGCCTTATCCTCGTCTGGCTCGTCTCGTCCGGTGGAATGGTTCTCAGATTCTGGTGCAGGATCCGCCACAGGTTCGGGAGACGCTGTTCTCTCTTCCTGAACGGTATCCATCGGCTTCACCACCTTTCTCGGCTTAAACAGGGCGGTCAAAACGCCCTGACTAGCGGTAACGTCCACCAAGGGCAGGCCGTTTCGGCGCCTCTCCTCCCTCTTGGCGGCCTCCTCGTCCTTCTTCTTCTGTCTCGCCGCCTTTGCTTTGACCGAGGCCTTCTCCTTCTCTAGAGCCTTGCGCTCCGCCTCCTGCTCGCGGCGTATGCGCGCAATCTCGGCCTGGTCCTGGCGGCGCTGCTCGGCGCGCGAGAGTCGTGGTTTGCGATGGGCTGCCTTGTACGCCTTGACGACCTGCTTGGACGTCATGGGCTGGTTGGGCAGAGCTCGCGGGGCGGTGGCAAGGGCGGCCGCCGTCGGCACCAGCGTGAAGGTGTTCTGGACCATGGCGAAGGCATGACTTGGCTGTTGATGGTGGTTTAGAAGGGAGGCATCATCGTGTTTGTGGTTGGTGGGGTATTTGACGCGAGGTGGGTGCGAGAACACGTGACGAGGTGGCCGCACTTGCACCAGCGGCAGTGTCTTGAGGGAGTAAGACAATGAAATTGGCAAAAATTAAGAATTAAGCAAGTCGGATGTCAGGCGTTCTTAATTCTAGGCATCAAGAAGAGCCTCGCAGTAGAGAATGGCAAAAAAGATTCGACACGAGCAGGACTTGAACCTGCGCACCCGAAGGTATGAGATATCTTCTCCTTGCCTAGTTTGCTAGGAAACTTCGAGTCTCACGCTTTAACCACTCAGCCATCGTGCCGGGGTATTTGTTGGTGTCAGCCTGATTATTACACACTATATCGGGCTGTTGCTTGCCCAGGTGCCTGGGTTATTTTCCGAGCGTGCAACAAACGGATGATGCAGCGAGCAAGCAGAGGCAGAAACATGCATTCATTGATTTGATTCACATCTGCAATCTCCGGATCTGCTCAAGTATCTAGCGCCTCTACAGTTGGATCCCACGTACACGGGCTGTACTCGTCCGTCGCGAGGCCGGCCACCTCCTCCTCCGTCATGTCAAAGTCGAAGATGTCCGCATTCTCGGCGATGCGCGCAGGCGTCACGGACTTGACGAGCGGGACGTAGCCATTCTGCAGCGACCACCGCAGCAGGATCTGGGCTTCCGTCTTGCCGTACTTGCTCGCCAGCGCCTTGACTTTCGGGTCGCCGAATCGCTCGCCCCGGACAATGGGGCAGTAGGCCTGGAGGACCATGGCACGCGCACGGCACCAGTCGACGATGTCGTGGCGGCACAGCCAGGGGTGCAGCTCATACTGGCCGACGGACAGGACGCCGCCCTTGCCTTGGCCGCGCTCCGCCTCGAGCTCCTTGATCCACGCCTCGAGCTCGTCGAGGTGGTGCACGCCGTAGTTGGAGACGCCGATGGAACGCACCTTGCCGGCCTCAACGCAGTCCACAAGGGCGCGCCAAGCCTCTTTGCGCGCCTGCACGCCGCCGTAGGGCGAGTGGATGAGCACGAGGTCGAGGTAGTCGAGCTTGGTCTCGGCGAGGGCCTTGTCCACGAGGTAGATGGCGTTCTGGTAGTTGAGGGGCTTGCCGCGGAAGGGGATCTTGGTGGTGAAGAATATCTCGGAGCGCGGGATCCCCGAGGCTGGGATCGAGGCGGCCGACTCGCCCTGGTTGCGGTATGCGGATGCCGAGTCGATCTGCCGCCAGTGAGTGAGGGGAGATGTGCTAGGGTTGTGCTGCCTACATGTCTGTATCCCACTCGCAGCGCCTCCTGGCACACGTCTGAAGCTACTTCCCTGAGACTGCACACGGTGAGAAGGTTGTTGGGGAGGATAGATGGCGGCCATACACTTGGTAGACCTGGCTGCGTTAGTGACGATTGTAGTGAAGTGAAGTGGGATGGCTTCATACTCCATAACCAAGGACGGGCATCTCGTAGCCCGAGTGCAGCTTGACCTTTGACTCGAGGGTGAGCTTGGACGCCATTCTGTAGAGCGTGGGTGGTGGCCAGCTTCGATACAGAAAATGATGATGAATTTCTTGGAGAAGCAGCGGAAGAGGGGCATTTGCAGACTCTTAATGAGATGATTACAGATCAACTGACGGGCTGTTACAGCCGCACCGCTACAGCCACTCCACGAACCACAACGCCTGGGTGCGGCTGATATTTTTGGGATGTATTTATTTATTTACTTATTTTTATTTTATCCTATTTTCCCTATTCTAGATGACGCCGTCTAACATCAAATCGTCGTCTTCAACATGCCGTGGCCCATTTGCGGGTGCCTCCTCCTCCTCCTCGCCATCGTCGTCCAGATCATGCATGGGGTAATTCAGGATGGCGGCAATGTCGCCCATCATCTTTAACCGCTGGCCGCTCTCGTGGTCGCTGCTCAGGACGCGCGCGTCGCCTCCGTCGGCCTTGACCTTGTCGACGAGGGCCACGTACTTTTTGCGCGTGGCCAGGTCTTCGCTGCGGAAGAGGGAGTTGTTGATGAGCAGCACGCCGCCGCCCGGTCCTACCGCGCCCTCGGCGACGGCCTTTTCCACTGCTCTCGTGCCGTACCAGGCGCGCCCGTCGTCTAGCTTGAGCAGGTCGAAGAAGTCGTCGACGTATTGGGCCTCGCGCGCAAACTTCATGTCGCGCATCTTGGCCAGCACCTCGGGGCTCTTGAGGACCTCGTTGAGGCTGTGCACGTGGCCGCTGTTGGCGTGGATGACGGTGGCCTGCTTGGACACGGCCGTCAGGACCTTGTCGGACTTGTCGCGGCCCTGCTTGGCAATGTAGTCCTTGAAGTCGGTGGCGACGAAGCCTGGGCTGGCCAGCAGCAGGGGCCTGGACTCGGAGAAGTCCATGGCGCGGAGGAGGGACGAGAGCGTCTTGTCGTAGAAGCGGCGCATGCCGGCGTCCTGGTCGGCGGCGGCGTCGCGCTTCTTGGGGATGACGGACTCGACGCGGGTCTTGAGGACGGTGCGGAACTGCGTGATGAGGCAGATGTTGGCCAGGCCCTCCTGCATGACGACGGCGGCGAGGGCGCCGTTCTTGTCGTCAGAGAGGGCCTGGGAGAGGGCCTCCTTGGCGACCGAGTCCCAGCCTTCGGGCTTGATGACGGTGAAGGAGCGGTTGACCTCGATGTCGAGGGTGTGGTGTGCGCCCATGGAGACGTGGTCGTTCTCGGAGACGACGATGCCGGAGATGCGCAGGGAGGAGATGACGGGGTCGAAGAAGGTGGACTTTACGCGGATGGTCAGGTCGGTGTGGACGCGCTCCGAGGAGGAGGCGTTGGTGCCCGAGTTGATGGTGGTGACCTTGCGGAGCGCATGGCCGTGGACGAGGTCGCCGGGGACGACGAGGTTGTAGGCGTGCCACTGGCAGCAGCGTCAGCACAGGGAGAGCGAAGCGAGGCGAGGCGAGGCGAGGAGAGGAGGTGTACCATGTCCTCCGAGTCTTCTGGCAGGAGGGAGACTCGCTCATCCTCGATGTCTTTGGGGACGTTGCGCGAAACCAGCTTCATGGCGCGGTTCGCCGGCGGCAGCGACACAAACAAAATTCAGTATCCTTGTTATTTTTTTGTCCTTCTTGTTCCTGGTGGTTTCGCGTGAGGGAGAATGCGCTGCGCGGGTTGAGGCGATTGTTGATGATGATGCAATGTGAGGGCCAAGGTGGGATGTGATAAGATACGAATAGCGGGATAGTGGGGTTGAACAAAAAATCCACGAACTGCCTGCTGCCAGTTCCAAGTGGAAGCCTTGCGCGTGAGGCGCCTAGTCCACTCGTTGGGCAGCACAACGGCGGTCAAGCCAGATCAGCAGACATTGTGAATGAGTCAGTTTGCGCATCATCCTAGAGGAAGGAGTCTCTTTTTGGAAGGTTTTTATTTTAATTTAATTTTTGTTGTTATTTTTGAGTTGCTGCTTTGCAATTTACTGAACCATTTCTCCTTCAAGCCAAAACACTGTAGGGTAGACAAATATACTGCGGCTCATTCATTCTATCTACTCAAGATCTCAATGTGAATCGAGAAGGGGTCAGTTACACCGGTCTCTGGAGCTCCTTCAAGCTCTCTCTCAGTCCCGCCGCCGAGGAAATCAGCGTTTGCCTCCGCTCCGCCTGGTCTGCTGGCTCCGTCCCAATCTCCAGCAACTTCTCATCCGAAAGCTGCGTTACCGACTGGGGGCAGAAAGCTTGAGGCAAGGGCGCGATGATGTGCCGTGCAATGACTTGGCGTGCTACGTTATCCACAAATGTCTTCATGGCGACCTGGGAGGAGAAAGAATTAGCGTCGGCGCGGAACGTTGCTACAAGGTATGCCCGGCGTACCTTATAATAGGCATTCAGCTCAATCTTGGCCTCTCGACACGCTTGGTCTTCCATGTCCACAATAACCGTGGATGTGGTGGCGGAGATGAACTTGTTCAAAGTGCTTTGCGATACTGTAGCCGTGGTGGGGAACTTGGAACTCGAATGGGTGGTGGTCAACTGGTCTGAATGCCTCCTCATTGCAGCCTCCTGGATGTCGGTCCTTGATTTCTGGACGTTGTCAGTAAAATAATGATTATACGTCTGAGGACCCCGTTTCTCATCCTCCATGAGCTTCTCCAGTTCCTTGTGAGCCGATGTTTCTGCATCTTCGATCCACTCCCTGAGAATTGCTGATATATGACCCTGAAGCCCATCTTCCGACATGATTCGTCCCAGGGCTGCATCGATCCATTGTGACACTATCGTCAAGATCTTCTGGATGTGCGCTTCGGCGATGCCACGCCAGAGCAGTGAGTGCTCGCGAAACAGCTCGGCCAGGAGTGCTGGGTTGGAAGTGCCCGGCAGTTCTTTGCCTCTAGTATTTCGATACGTCTATGCGCTATTCATCAGCTACCGCCCCTCGAATAACGGTTATTGGACCTACCTCCTTAATCCATGTCCGCATTTCGGCTTCTGTCAGAACCAGCTGGGCCGATGGATCCGCTAACTGGCTTGATGATGGAGATGAATTTCCAGGCTGAGATGGAACTTTAGGTTGAGATGGAACCTCAGGTAGAGATGTAGCTTTAGGTTCAGACGGAGCTTGAGGTTTAGGCGGAGCTTCAGCTTCCTGACGTTCGACGAGCTTGTGCCTCTCCCCCTGTGTCCTCATACGCTCCGCAAAATCCATGTTTATGTTTTCGATGTACGCCCTCAACCTAGCACCTGCGACATTGCTGAAAAAGGCCGTGTCAGCGCCATGGTAGTCGCCGTTGAGTGCAGCCTGCAGCAGTTCGTAAAACTGCATACTTTTGATCGTGAGAAACGTCCGAATATGCCCGACCGTCGGTCGCGCGTCACCGATGGATACCAAATCGGCTTCGACCGTAGTGAGCATCTTCTTAATTTCGTCCCTCACGCTCGGCAGCTCTCGCTGTATGTGGGCATCGAGAAGCCCCTGCAGGAAATACCTCATCTTCTCCGACCCAACTCGGCTCATGTCGAGGTTCTGGCGCGCCCACGCCGGAGCAGAGAAGAAGCGGAGCTCCCGCTTGGCTCGATCTGCCATGCTGAGGCCCTCCTTGAGCTCCGACGGGCTGGGGTTCTTGACCAGGAAGAAGCCCAGCTTCAGCTTGATGGCGTCCTGGTTCTTGGCCGCCTGTGCAATCTTGGCTTCGGACCCCTCGTTGATCAAGTCTGGCTTCGTTATAATGCCCACGGTCCGTTGTCCCTGCGGATCATGCTCCCTCGCCAATTTGATGATTCCTTGGTTGGCCATGTCGTTGCTTGCCTGAAGGACGGCCAAGATGATGCTTCGTGGGTTTTGG